ACTCAAAATACACTTGAGTCGATATTTCTCCAAAATAATGTATTCAACATCACATCTCATACTCTCAAGATACATTTACGGCGTTTTTGTACTGGAAAAAAATAACTTGCGTCAACTTTTTAAAGAAAACTTCTCACAACTGACCGTTGTGACAGTTTTCTTCCAGTGAAATAGTGCCAATTGATACAAATTCGATAACGACGTAACTTACATCTAGGGGCCAATTATTTTACTACAATTCTGACGATTTTTTTCCAGATAGAGTAAACTTCTCTCTAGCTGCTGCTGATGGGCATAACTAATTTTTCCAAAAAATTGCATTTACGTCATTATTATTCTGGAACGGCGATATTATATAAATAATTAAATAGATAATAAAAGGTTGAGTCAGTATTTTATTTACATAATTTCCCCACAAAAACACATCACAATTGCAAGATGCAACTTCAAAATTACCATAAAGCTCAACTTTTCCAACTTTTCGAAGTTTTTTGAACTTCTCTTGAAAAGTTGATCGATCTTTTCAGCAATTCCAACTTTCTCGGAAAACTTGCAACCCTACCACTTACATGACACGAGAATGAAACATAAAGCTCAAAATTCCAGGTGTCCATCATCCCGAGAGGCAAAGGCCTAGGGTACGCGCAGTACCTGCCCAAGGACCAATACCTCTACACCAAAGAGCAGCTGTTCGACAGGATGTGCATGACCTTGGGCGGCAGAGTGTCCGAGGAGCTGTTCTTCAAGAGGATCACGACGGGCGCCCAAGACGACCTCAAGAAGGTCACGCAGAGCGCCTACGCCCAAGTGGTCCACTACGGTATGAACGAGAAAGTGGGCAACGTCAGCTTCGACATGCCCAGGGAGGGAGAGATGGTAGGTGACTTGTTAGATCAGTGGCGTATCTGGCCACTTACTCTGGGGGGGGGAGGTAATCCAATTCAGGAAAAGGTAGGTAGGTCGTTACAACAGAAAAAGGATCAATACTCGGAACAACATTAAAATGATGACTAGGGACTAGGTATTCAGTATTCACATACCTAAATCTGATAATGAATATTATTAAAAACAAAAATGAACAAACCAATCGTAAAAACTTCACAAACGATAAGATTTCCACAAAATTCTCAAACACACGACATGTTTCGCTAGCACAGTAGCTTCGTTCGTCAGGTGATATACTGGTACAATGAACTAAACTAACGTTGCCTTGCTTAACTTTTATATATCTTACTTTCCCAACCGGAAAGATTAGTTACCTGTGGCCAGGTATGATAAACCTCCATTTTCGGAAATTAGGCACAATATCTACATTAGAATACGGTATACCGGATTAGCAAATACATATTATTACTTACTAAGAAAACAAATTCAACAGTGGTGAACTATTGAGGTCTTTTTGATCATTAAGTAAAATGTCAAAATTTTTGAGTTTGTTGATTTCTAATGATTCAAAATGATTGAGTTTTAGTCCTTTATTTACTACGTGTAGTATTTCGAAATTATCATCAAAACTATGGTTTTCTTCTAATATATAGTAGGCGTGTGTTAAATTAATTTTCATTTTCATAAAATTTATCTTATGTTCATGAATGCGCTGATTAAACGTACGACCTGTCTGACCGATATATACCTTAGGACAAGATCCACATTTGAGTTTGTATACCCCTGATTTTTCGAATTTAAAAGTTTTGCCTTTATTATTCTTGATAAACCGTCTCAACGTGTTATTTGTTTTATATGCCACTTTTAAGTCCTGTTTATGTAGAAATGATGCTAATTTCTCAGTTGATGATCCAAAATAGGTTAAAGTTCTATAATTTTGATTATGATTCTTGAACTAAGATCAATTTTATGCAAGAACCCCTGTATCTTACGTAATTGACTTTATCTTTCGACTTTTCCTTCCTTCTGCAAATTTCAGAACCCTACCTCAATAATTACGTTAGATACGAGGGTGCTTCCATGAAAAGTGAGACGAAATTTAATCTTTCTGAACTGAAAATGTTCTAGAAAAACTATGAATAGTTAGTGAATTGGGCGTTCTGATTCCGAATCCGAAGTGATTTTCAACCTATTTTGACTCCTAATATCATTTTCCGGAGGTTCCATGGCTGTTGGCGAGCAGTGTATATCACTGAAGATGACCCCACTTGGTCATAGGCATTTTTGGTATATCTCTTGCTCCAGCAAATTTCAGAATCCTTACCCAACGATTACGTACGATACAGCGTTGTTTCCATTAGAAGTGGGTCACACTGTATATGATTTTGAATAAAACGATGTACATGATGTTTCTGACAATCGCAGACAGTGATACATTCGAAATTGACGATTGAGATCATTATTCAAAATTTGGATCATTACAGGTGATGGAGAAGCCTTATTCGGAGACCACGGCGCAGCTGATCGATGTTGAGGTTAGGAAACTCATCGAGGGGGCGCATAAAAGGACCACGCAGCTTTTGACGGAGCGCAAAGAGCAAGTTGCTAAGGTGGCTGAACGGTTGCTCAAGCAAGAGATTATCAGCAGGGAGGATATGATCGAGTTATTGGGAAAGAGGCCATTCCCGGAGAAATCGACCTATGAGGAGTTTGTGGAGGGTACGGGGTCCTTCGAGGAAGATACCACGTTGCCTGAGGGGTTGAAGGATTGGAACAAGGATAAGACGAAGGGACCGGAGGAGACGGAAAAGCAGCGGGCTTAGAGTTTTGCTCCAGTACTTTTTTTAGTTGTAAAGTGTTGTAACTGAGCGTTTTTATCACGAAGAATGGAATGTGTCTACCTTAATTATTTCGATAATATATTGAATATTGTTATAAGTTTCTCTTTTATTTGAGTTCTGTCTTTGCCCATTCATGAAGAGCTAGATGGATAACCCTCTAGAAATTCAGTTGTAGGTCCAAGGAAACAATCCGAATTTTCGTCTAGCGGAAAGATAGCTAAATTCTACAAAAGCACACAATCAGAGTGAGTACGTAAATTTCTCGTCATGAAATGACGAAGTGGACGTCTTATTATGACATCTAAAAGACCCTAATATGACGTCAAAATGTCATAGCCACAAGATGTCATATTTAGACGTCAAAATGACGTCTTAGGATGATCTATAAATCACACCATAAAAATTCAGAGGTATTGTTGTGGACCTACTTTCTTCTATTAATAGCGGATTTCATTGGTATAACCAGTGCGCACTCAGTGTATACATTTCTCTGTCTGCCACACGTCGAACAGAAAGATGCATATATACTGAGTGCAACAATACCGCACCAGTTCATGCCCAATGGAAACCGCTATGAGTATGTTGGAATGGCTGAGTATATTAGTCATGAACAGTAAAATTGCTACATAGCTCATCAGTGTATGCCATTATTATGCAGTAATCAGAAGTTTTATATTATAACCTCTTACGAGAAAGAGGTTATTTTATACAGAGGTTCTACCAACCTTGTTTCAAGTCATAAGGTAGCGCCATCTAGAAACCATAAATTCAAGCTCTTGATAGATTTCACCTCCTACAGAGGTATAGAGTCACTGTAATTTGAACAATAGGTAAGTAAATCGAATATCGCGGTACAGCTTCCAAATGTCACTAAGAGATGGCGTCATGCGGCCTAAAATTCAAGGTTGGTAGAACTGATGACTATTTTGTAGAGGAAGGTTGCCTCGATCGCACCCCGCGAGTAACCTTGAGTAACTCATGACGTAATTGGCCCTTTCTTTTGCACGAAAAGTGTAGCACTCTCGTACACTTCGTGTATGATATGTACGCCGGCGATTGGCCGGCGCATGTATTGAGTTGACAGTTGTCAGTATTTTCGAATATTTGAACCATTTTGAACTTCGGTCACTTCTTGTTAAAATTCGTACAAGTGTAATGATGTAATGAGACTAGTGAATTTAGTTTGTATTTCCATTAATTTCCATAAGATGAGTCTATTCGTGAGAAATGGATTCAATTTTGTGGACGTAATTTTAATTCATTTAATACCAAAACTTGGCGAATATGTTCTGCCCATTTCGATGCCGAGGATTTTGAACGGCACAAGCAGAATTGCTAAATCACACACCAAAGAGAAGAAAACTCAAGGTAGGAATCCCATCAATAATACCCAATACAACAAGAGAAACACCATAAGTATTCAAAATGGACATCAGAAGATATCACACGTGTTTTCAAGTTGAGATATTTGAGCAAGAGTACGTTACCCAACGAAGAGGAGCTATGTTTATTTGAGAGATTCCTTGAACTATCCTTTATTATAGGTTCAATTATAATAGTAGTGTTATTTTTCATTAATTTTGTTCAGAATCATATTTTGTTATTTTTTTATGCTCAAATACTTCCATCAATTGCTCTGTTTTTGACTACAATATAATCAAACAATGAAATACTATTTCCTTTTGTATTTTCTATATGTATATCTAGGAAAGTTTGTTAATTTTTCAGAATACAGAGTTATATCGATAAGTAAGTCAAGTCAAGTCTCTGACTTTCGAGGGTTGCTTTGCAACTAAGCTGGCGGTTAAAAACACTTTTAAAAACACTTTTTTTTTTAAGTAAGTGATCTGTTGTGTACGAATATTGGTCCACTGCTACTACTTCTGGATCATCAGTTGATTATTCTTATATTTTCTGTAGTTTCTTGTTCACATTATCTGATTTGCAGGATATTTATAGGATGAGTAGGTTCATATATCAATGCATAAGTAATTACTAGCTCCATAATTATGCTCCATACCTCAAAACACACATACCTGGTACCACGACCTGGTAAATAGCCCCTGGAACAAAATTTCAGATAGGTATTCCTCTCTGTACTACTGATCCATCCAAAATTGCCTTCTCATTTCGAAGATTGAAGGTATTATACAGAAGTATATGTAAATATCCATATTTTATAATGGTACTTCCCAGTCAACACACGGACATTCGATGGACATCCACTGGACGTCCATTTAGGATATTTGGGATATCCAGAGAATATCCAGTGATATCCGATGTATATCTTATGGACGTCCAATGGACGTGCCGAGTGGAAGGAGTTGGACTTCTATAGGATATCCTTCAGGGACATCCATAAGACATTTTTCAGGGATATCCATAAGATATTGTTCACAAATATCCATAAGACATTTTTCAGGGATATCCATAAGATATTGTTCACAAATATCCATGAGATATTTTTCAGGGATATTTACTAAATATCCTTAACAATATAGAACACCATGTATATCATTCCATAATGAATTAGGAACTATTATAACGAATTCAACGGTACCGGATTGAATAGGGTTATTTCAAACGATTACGAAGATATTTGCATTCGAAGTTTTCATATGCTCATTGAGGATATGGAAATGTGAATATCTTCCTAATCGTTTGTAGAAATCCTATCAAACACAGTATCGTTGAATTCGTTATGATAATCCTTAACCGATTATGGAATAAAATGCAGGGTGTCCCGTTTGAAAATGCCATCCTCGGTTAAAGTGCCAGTTATGAAGCAAACATGTAGGTACATACAACACAAATAAATAGTTGATCTTTGTGACATTTATTTGAAAAGTACAACTACCAAGGACAGGTTTGACATTTCCAGAAAAGAAGTTGCTCGTCCACCCTGTTTGTGATAGGAAAATTGAGAATATTCATTATGTTTCATATAACTGGTCTCTTCATTCTTTTCTTAAAACAGGGCATCTCATCTATAGGAATACTGATTGTATTAGTCCCTCTGTTGATTGTTTTTTGTGTCAACCAAGCATATTTATATATCTCTGGAAGATCCCACATTCTTCCTGAAAACAATGATATAGAGTTGAGTTTCAGGAGTTTACCAATATCATTATTAGGGAGAGTTCTTTTCACCTGACACACACAGTCACAGTGGACTGTAAACATAATGAGGCATAATACTTATTATACTTCAATGCAATCATTTGCATCCATTTGACCAGCCAAAACCAGGTGGCCCGCATTTATGAGCTCAGCTTCATTTTGGAGACACTGAATCACTGAAAAAGGATAGACAGATTGAAATGCACAGGCTAAATGGCCAAATCATAAGAATTCTTGTTCAATAATGATAAAAACTTACAGCTTATGTTGGTATAGGTTTTAGGTTCAACATTCCAACTAGAGGTAGGTAGGTGTTCTACTGTTAAACATCAGAGATATTATTGTCCTCAATCAAAACACAATGAACCACTGGAGAATACGGATTTAAAAAATACACAAATATCAAAGCTGAGAATGATTGAGAACTCAAAACGAAATCAACATAAACACACCTCTCAATAAACACCATCACCAAAACCAAACAATGTAAAATATAAACAATCAAATAGTACTGGCTTTCGTCGTTCTGGCTCTGGCGCTACGATCTCTCTTTCGTTTGACATGGCGGTATTTTCAAATCATCCCACCCGATTTATAAAATAACTTACTCTGAACAATCTATATAACCTCTATGTATTACGGTGAAGTTATAATAATTATGAAATTGAAAATATTCTATTAGCCTGAATCAATATGATCATATACCTATATTTCTTATTAAAAGTTTAACGCATATTATGAGAATAGAACCATAACTAGGTGTGGAATTCAGGAATTCTGAGAGTGGAGAACGTTCAGATATGACACACTAAAAGTCATTATGATTAATACTTATTATAATATACCAAATATCATTATATGATGGAAAACTACCTTTGAATTTCTAATAAACATGTGATTTGCATGTGATATTTGTGATGATTCGTATTGTTTTGAACCATTCTCAATTAACAATTTTTGTTCGCTAAACGAACATCTTATGGACGTCCATAGGTGATCCGCATCAGAATATCCATTTGATATCCTCTGACGGATATCCTATGGATATCCATTTCATGTCCCAGGATATCCCGACCTGAAATGGACTTGAGAAGGATATCCATAGGATATCCTGTGTTATCTGGGTTACTTATAATTATATACTATAAATTAATATAAATATGCTGAGCAGACCAAAAAGTTTGTATCATGTTTGTATACTCTATTTGGTAAACATTTCATGACATGTCGCTTAAAGGTTGACAACTTGTCGTCTTACTGCCTGTGACGTCACGAGTGACCGTTTCCCCCCTTGCCGCACTATCGATCGAGGCAACCTTCCTATACAAATTTTAATCAGTTCTACCAACCTTGCTAAAATTCTGAATGATCAAAGCGTCTGAAAGTTTTGTTGGTCGAGGATTCAGGCTTGTTTTACATATTTAATCATATTTTTCGCAAAATTTCAAGGGGAGAAGATATTTGAAAACAACGTACGCTTTACGCTATCTCATCGGTTATTGAGCGTGTTTAAGGAAAAAAAATCGAAGGAAGAAGCCTGAATAGTACGCCGAGAGCTCTCCAGGTTTTATGCAAAAAACTTCATCATACAGAATAAATTGATATTGGAAGTCCAACAAACTGTGATTTTATTGAACTATTATTATTTTTAGTGTTGATACCACATTATCTTCAATTAATTTCATTCCTCGGTAGTATAGTGGTCAGTATCCCCGCCTGTCACGCGGGAGACCGGGGTTCGATTCCCCGCCGGGGAGGGTTTTTTTTACTACTTGTTTCTACACTTTTTTTCAGTTTCCTACATTACCACGACACCATGTGTGAAGCAGTGCGCGAAGTACACACTTCGCGTATATATATTG